GCGGGAGTTTATTTGCCAGCCGCTCTCCGGTTTTATGTAACCCGGCCGTAACAGCAGACAGATTATACACAGCTAAACCTATCATACTCAAGGTATTTCTCTACTAACCCCGGGTGAACGTGGAGAGGAACCATCAGGCGAGGTTGGACCCCGACTTACCCATTTCCATATATATACAGATATCTATATAACTGGTTATCTCACTGAGAACTAGAATTAACTAAGTTTGTCACCAATATCGATCAAACGAGCCGTAGAACCTCTGAAATCCACTAAATAGCTTATTCAGTCTAGTCTATGTGGTATTTGTGGATAAAATATATTAGTAAGTATTATATTGTAAGTACATGGTAAAGTGTTATGAATGGCTGATATTCATATAATTATAACCTTTCATGACAACTTGTTGGTTTATATACACATTAACTTTGAACTACTGTATTCAGCTTAGATATTTATAATTAGTGAAACATAGTTATTATATAAATAATAAACATAGTTAGACTTGTTGATTTATATAAGCAATAACTTAAAACTACTGAATTCCTAGGCTTTGGTATCTAAAGTGGATAAAATATACTTATAACATTATCTTAATTTTTTGGTTTTCTTTTATTGTTCCCCCGGTGCTCTGAGTGAGCGAGAAGAGGGCTGGAGAGGGGAATTTAACATCACACCATCCAATGACCGACGACTGCGAAAGTTGCTTAACTTCAACGATCGCAGCCGAACGCGCTTACTACTTGTGTCATCGAGCCCCTTACAGTTGAGGTCGATCCAAAAACTTAAAATGTATTTGTTTCATGCTTTGTCCCTCTCTATATAGAATACTATTTGTATCTGTGATGCTCGTATCGTTATATGCTAACTCCAAACATAATAATTACGACACTTAATATAACAATAAATGAATTATTTCAAAAAAAAAAAATGGTTGCCTGTAAAGTCGGTTTTACGGGCGAAGATTTTACGTGACAACGTCTTTTTCTCGGTAGAATATTTATTGATATGAATATAATTAAATTGCACAATAGGAACAAGGAATTGAATGAAAATAAGAATTGCACAAATTTTAACTATAGAAATATATTTTGTTTACTAAAACATTGTACATGTAAACTTAAACTTAACACGAGAGACTCATCGTAACGTTACCGAGCGTTACACTTTTTCATAAGTGACTCCCAGCCGCAACCTAATTTAAGACGTTGTCACGTCAATAAAGTATGATACATATATACACACACATATATTATATGTAACGGTCTCTGCAATATCAGCTTGTGTCGCAATAACCAGACAGTATTCACCAGGTGACAAATTACATTTGGACAGAATTGGGCACACGGGAACATTCCATTAATAAAACTTGAGTATTAATAAAATTTATATTTGAAGAAGGTTGATATTGATATGGAGAATAAAGGGAGAAACGAGAATAAATGAACTTTATCACTTACAAAAAAAAACAGACTTTGATATTCAAACCTTCTCACGAAAATGATTTGTTCGAAAGGATATTTGATCTGAGAATACACCATTAATTGAATTAGAAAGACTGATTGAGTTCAAAGTTCCATTGTACCTATCTTTGGTACCTATAGATGTATATTCGCATTCGATTGTCTTCGATTGTCTATTGTCTTACTACAATTATAATAAAATATTCAACGAGGGATTAACGGGTATAATAGCGCGATTACACGTGGTCGTTAGCCCGAATACGAGTGCCAATGGAATTCGAGTAAACGGCTAAGAGTAAATTAACGGAGTCGAGTAAGCCCGTATTCGGGTCGATTTCCTTTGTTTACCCGACCCCGTCTTCCAGTCCGTATTCCAGTGTAAGTATTGCTTCGGGTGCCCGAGTTCGAATAATGTCTTTCGTGCACCCGAATACGGGTTAACGACCATATGTGATTGCGGCATAAAGATGGTGCGCATTGGTGATTTACTAATAAACTTTTCTGTAAGATAAAATACATTCTTTTATTAGTTATTATCTTTACCTGAATCAACTTTATATTTCTTCAAACTACATAAGTCTAAATCTTTACCTGAATTAACTTTATAAGGTACTAGCAGCCGCCCGCGACTTTGTACGCGTGGAGTTAGTTAAATGCACATACTTTTTGACCCCAAAAGAGCTCACTGCTCGTTCCCCGTAGGTGATAGCGTGATAGCCTATATGTTGACGATTAATAGTATTCGTGCCAAATTTGAAGTAAATTCATGCAGTACTTTTTGAGTTTATCCCGGACATACATACAGATAAACACACAAAAATTCTAAATACTAAATTTTTGGCTTCGGTATTGATTGTACATCACACCCCAAAGTATTCTTTAAAAAATATTTCAATGTACAGTTTTGACTTTCCTACCATTTTATTATATGTATAGATAAATATATCATACTGTTAACTTTATAATTTAACCCATCCATTTTACTAAATTTTGTTCCAACACTAGTGGAAATCTAACACGAAACTTTCAGTCGGTGTCCGCCTGGATAGCGGAAGATACGGGTTCGAATCCCGTCTAAAACTTGGACCGAGTGCTTTTCTTCCTAGAAAAAAAAATTGGATTTAAACACCTTGCAGTTAAATTGACGACCTCCGTGGCCGAGTGGTTTGTGCGCCGGGTTTCATGGTGTCGCCGACTCAAGGGGCCCCGGGTTCGAATCCCGTGGGAGCAGATGTGATGAATACGAGCATTTGTACTCCAGTCATGGGTGTTTAATAATGTATTTCTATATAAATATATTTATATATGTATTGTTTATGTATTCTATCCGTTATCCTAGTATCCCATAACACAAGCCTTACAGTGCTTACTTTGGGGCTAGGCTAATTGGTGTGAGTGTTGGAAATATTTATTTATTTATTTTAAGTCAAAAAATATACCTTTGTAAACAAACTTCTATATTTCTACATTTATAACAAGATGCTAAATATCAATACAGGTATACATTAATAAGCTACGGACACTAACTCTATATATTTGAAACCTCTCTAGTATAAATACATACAATATTCAACTATTCTCCAAGCCATAAACATTCACGTCCGTGTATACAGCCCTCACAGTTCGTATAAATTTCAATTTTCTACCCGTCCCGGCCTAAATTATAAACTAAGTTACGGCACATCATCGCGTCTGGGAAATTTTTCTGATAAAGTCTCATGCAAAGTCGGCAACTTTCAGTTTATTTTTCATTCCGTCCATTGTATTAATTTCGTAGAGTCAAAATGAACATTTTAACAATGTTCTGTGTAGGGTTGCTGGAGAATTTGCATACTTGTATTCGGACGTGTATTAATGGGGAGTAAAAAATATACCTATTTGGGAATGGGGAGAATACAACGGAATGTTTCGAAAAGGAAAAACACTGGAATGTAAACAGCCTTGTTTGTGTGACATCGAAACTATCACTTTGTTGAGATACGAAAATAATGAAAAGAAATATCGTATACTCACGAGATACAAAAATAATGAAAATAAATATCGTCTACATCATCTTAAAAAGTAAGATATTTATAACTAAAATCCTTAAAATATATAATAAATAAAATACATTATTCAAAAGGAGTCCCTTTAGGCAAGGTTCCAAAGATGCTGGCAGCGTTCCCCCTTTGAATAGCTAGAATAATTCTTTGCCTTTTTTTGTTTAATTTTTTTTCTTTCATCTTAAATGTATATTACCGCCCCACTGATAAACCATTGTAAGTTCATTCGAATGATGATGGTGAGATGGGTCGGTGGTGGACCCAGATATGTTGGACCTATAGTCTTGGTAGCTTCATCATAGCTTTAGCTCTTGTTTGCACAACCTCTTATATGGTTTTCATGAAACTAACAGAACAGACTTTAGAAAATTCCACATACCGTAGTAAGATATTGCTACTAAAAGTAAAGTACAAAGAATATAAAAGCCATAACTGTTGTGTAGTTGTTGACAACCTCCGTGGCCGAGTGGTTTGTACGCTAGGTTTCAATGTTACTTGAGAGATCCTGGGTTAAAATCCCGGCGCGGCAGTTGTTTGTGTGATAAATACGAGCATTTGTATTTCAGTCAGTTAAACATCCCCATATGTTTAATATGTATTTTTAAATAAATCACACTAATATTATAAGGGCGAAAGTTTGTGAGTGTGTATGTTTGTTACTTCTTCACGTCTAAACGGCTTGAGCGATTTTAATAACATTTGGTATGGAGTTAGCTGACACCCTGGATTAACACATAGGCTACGTGTTACTGCGGGAAAATATCCATAATAAACCGCGGGTAACACCGTGGGGCACAGCTAGTATACTTATATATGTAACAGAATATTTATTCTATCCGTTACCCCAGCATACCATAACAAAAGCCTACAGTGCTTACTTTGGGGCTAAGCTAATTGGTGTGAATGTTGGAAATATTTATTTATTTCATTGTTATTAGGATCGATAACAACACTACACAATCGACCATTCGTCTGAACTCAACTCCATCAAAACTGGAAGAAAAAAAATGTACTTATAAAAAAAATAAACATACCAAAGAACCCACTGGATTTTAAGTAAACCATAAATCTTCAATTCAACGTAGACTCTTAAACCAAGAACCCAGAATTCCGCTACGACCGTAGCAGATCTTGTCCCATGATAATGACGAACACCAGTAGCCGCATTTGCAAATTACTTCGTCGGCTTCAACACGAATGACGTATTAACGTGCTGAAGGGTTGAAAACTCAATAAATTTCCTATCAAATGTAGGGCTCTTCCGGCTACGAGATTTTCTGCACACTAATCTCATAAATACACCCATATATCATATAGGTAATATGGATTCAGAACTTGATAGGGTAACTAAAAATGAATAAAAGATTCAATATCATATATCATGCAATCATTTGTGACAATATTATAATAATTTATAATTAAGTTGTCCTTAATTAATAATTGTTTCCTTACCTATAACTATAAATAAACATGACTGTTTTCTTTCGATTCGCAGAAGGACAACGGAGGAGCAGTCATACAAAACAACACGCTGATTGCGATCTCGACATTCATCCACTCGTGCGCAGTCTACACGAAAATCCACGCATTCCCCAAAGTCGCTAGCTTCTCCAGGTGGTTAGACTCCGTAATATGGGACGAAGAAAACAGACCGTCTTCCTCAACTGAAGGCACTGCTAAACCAAGCACTAATGCCACTGAAGCTCCTTTACAAACGCAAACTTTCTTCGCTGACCCTAGAAAATTTTTGTTAACGTTACCGTTTGACCCCGTAAACGTCCCGCTAGAACCAGCAGAAGATAACTCCGTCTTACCAAGAATGAGTTTATACGAGTCTTATCTCCAAAATATGGCTAAATCAAAAACTTCTACGACACAGAACCCAAAACAAATAGAAATGGAGAAACGGGCGTGGCTAAAGAAGTTTGGGAAAGCGGTAATGATGATGCCGCAGTTCGCAAAGAAATATGACGCTTATGACTATAACTAAAGAATTGCAATTAGTGCACAGCACTAGTGATTTTGCTGCTTCAATTTGGACTTATTTCTGGCGTTGTATGTCTCAAGAATATCAATATTCAATAAGTGTGAAATTGGAGTCCCATAATTAAGTAATAAATATCAACCATCTTATCTTGGAGACATCTGCCGGAAACGAGTTACGACCGGCTCTAATTTGTATTAGAAGATAACCATGAAATAAGATATTTTAAACTCCTTGACTTGTATTAATTTTCTACCATCAATAAGCGTACACATAATAAGATGGTTGGTGTAGCAGTTTATAACTGCTGTAGCAGCTATCTTCACGTTTGGACTTTATAATCACTTAATAGGTGGGGTACTAAGGTGGAGTATATAAAACAAAATAATAAAAAAAATGGGAAATAGCAAACCTGTAAACTAATAGTAACACCGCTTTTAATAAATAATTATAAAGCATTTAGTGACAATGATATTGATGAAAGTGTCCGCAAGCTTATAATCAACCTGGAAGTTAGAATTAATAACCTTAAAGACATACTTCAAAGGAGTTCACTTGGAGCTAGATAATAAAATCCTAATATTATCAAAGCGAAATTTTGTATGTCCGTTACTCTTTTACATAAACAAAACGGATTTGGATGAAATTTGGTGCGCATATATTTTCTGACCTGGATTGAAACATGGGATTTTATATTTTTATCTCGGAAAATTTTTAGTTTCCTGTGGGATTCCCAAAAAGCCAAAGTTAACGCAGACAAAGTAGCGGGCAGCCACTAGACCAATAAATTGAATAATGTGTCAGTATAATAGTCTTAGTGATAGTTCCAACAATATTGTTGCAGCAAAAGCACTCTGCGCTATTTTCTTAATCGATTAAAATGTACACACCTAAAATGTTGTGAAAAGCATGACAAATTCAAGATTATTGCCGATTGCAATGTCTTTCGTAAATAAAGTTCAATTCTTAATATTTTTTATTTAGTATTGTAACATTGTAATGCCTTTTGAAACAGTTAATTTGATCAACTTACTACTTTTAGTGTATGTACATTTGTTTTTATTTTTGCATGTGGTGTTCACCTTTAAAATTTTTTATACTTAACCAATATCCAACAATGTTATAATAATTTTATATGTTTGTAATTGTATAAACAAATACTGGTGATCCTAATAAAATAAATAAATAAATACAAAATTAAGAATGTATTTTTATCATTAAATATGTCGTCAAATATATGATGGTTTTGCTTGTTAATCACTGTAGATAAAAATTATGCGTTTGAATGTCTGCTAAATGAGTTAGTGCCAAATGATTTTCTGTGAAATGAAGTTTATGCTATCCGCTGATATGTAAATCCGCTGTACCCCACCTCTCTTAGTAACATTTGCAAAAGTTTGTATTAATGGAGGTAATTTAATAATTTAACTAAAGAACAAATAGTAAGATATTCATAACTAAAAACCTAAAAAATATATAATAACTAAAATACATTATTAAAAAGAGTCCCTTTACGCAAGGTTCCGAAGATACTGGCAGCGTTCCCCCTTTGAATAGCTAGACTAATTCTTTGTCCGAGGTAGCTGCCAGCTCTTCGGTCTCCAGTGATGTCGACCAACCTTTTTGCTATTTCCTTAGAAAGCCTTAGAGCGCTAGGACCCCACGGGCCAATGGTCTCGACACCGAATGGGACAAAATCATATTCGGAGCCTAGACCCCTGTATTTGCATGCCTCAGCTTTTTCAGCCGCTTCGCAAGCCGCACCAGTTCTTTTGTTGGTTCCATGTAGATGGGAAGGGGCCAGCGTTTGTATTTAATACTTTTTTTAAGAATGCTTTAAAGTATATCTATTCTATTATATAAACGTCATCTTGCTCATAAATTCTTGATCGTAAAAGCATTAACTCGAACTCTTGCCCATCACAATAGTATTCCTTTCAAAGCTAGGCTAACTACAAAGTAACTTGTGACTTCTGAGAGCATCATAAAATATTTGAATAGTCTTTTATTAAGTGCGAAGTGCTGTTCTTGAGAAGCCATAAAAGTTGTGACTACTAGATTGATATTTCTAACTTCACACATAATAACTCTGAGCTAAATTATTTTTAGCTATGTCGTGGGATGATATGGTAAATCGACCTTTAAACGGCGCTTACATTACTAAATCTTAAAGAAAACATTTTTAGGAGGATCGCGTAGCGGACGGAATCGCGTATTGAAGCTTGTTTTATATTTTGTTTTAGCAAGGCAGCGCACACCTGGACTGGAGAGGCGCTAGATACTGAGAAGTTAACAATTTAAGCTTAACTCTGATTCCTTTATTATAAGTTATGGTAAAACATGAAACAATACACAAGCGGCGCACAGCGCTGCCAAGCGGCTCCGCGAGCCAGCGCGCCGCAACTCCGCTCCGTTGCCGTGAGCACGGTAATATTATATAATACTAGCTGTCCCAGCGAACTTCGTACCGCCATAAAAAAATAGGGATTGGTGGTAGAAGGGTGAAAATTTATGGTTGTATGTATTTTTGTATGATGTATCATAAACAAATTAAAAAAAATATCTAAAATTGAAAAAAAAAATTAAGGGTGGATTACCCTTAACATTTAGGGGGATGAAAAATAGATGTTGTCCGATTCCCAGACCTTGATTACCATATTGGGTAGGTCTAGGAATCGGACAACATCTATTTTGCACACAAAATTTCATGAGAATCGGGAAAGCCGTTTCGGAGGAGTTTAACCACAAACACCGCGACACGAGAATTTTATATATTAAGATTACCGTGCCGTGAGTGTTGCTTAAACTCATCCAAAAGGTAAGGTATTAGTGGTGGGCACCGGCGCGCGCAAGTTGTTCATATACTGTGAATATTTGATCCTGTCTAATGGAAGCTCGACTTTGAGATTCAGAAAGGGAGTTAAATTATACAAGGAAGCAGCTAATAGGTCGAATTGCTAACCGAATAACAAGGGATTACCACTGTACGCGGTGACTCTGTAGTCAGAATTAAACATAAATAAACACCTTATATACAACTGCTCACGAACCTCACAACTGCTTATATTCTTTGTTAATACGTAGGATAGGAAGAAGCTTTCTTTCACTTCTTAACCATATTTTGCTCATTCATAGAAGATTAAGAGACTTGTTGACATGAGAAAACTTTATATAGAGAAGGAGGCCCGAAAGTTAATATTTTATTTAATAACATAGATTCATTAAAATTATTATCAAATTTATAAAAAAAACCATTACCCTTCTCCAAGCGTTTGACACACACATAACGACTCTTTTATTGACAGAAGAACCTAATATTACTATCTTTGCTAGCCACTACTTAACATATCCTACCGCTTTCAAAATTTACTGATTTGTTTATTATCAGCTAAAACTTTCCTCCATTCACACCTGCAGCTACATCCAAGGAAGACTGGGCTTTCTGGAGGAGCTTTTTTTTATATTATTTTTATATGACCTTTACAGCGTCACCGGATTTGGGAACGGCGAGATTCTAAGGGGACCTCAAGAATTGGAGAAGACCTCTAGAGGTATTCCAGGCGGATGGCATCTCCCCACGGAGGGAGTCTCCGTCTGGAGCCTCTAGACCACTGGAGCCTGAGGGGGTCGGCTCAACTAGAGGGCGTCTCTGAGACTCGGACCTCGGCGCTAGTTAGCCGTTGTCGTGGAGGGCGGGGAAAAACGCCCAGGTACCTGTATCTGGTATAGCGTGTCGTGTGTAGACCGGGTCTTCGCACTCTTATCCTACGTGTGTATCTGCCTAATGCTAAGCTAGTGTGCAAGTATGCTAGCTGTGTAGTGTTGGTGTTTGTGGCCTATGTGGGAGGAGTCGGAGGCGCGTTGGCACGGGTGATTTTGTCGTCGGGGTACTTGCCTAGGCCGACGGAATACTGGAGGATCTGGGATGACAGGACTCATGCCAAACCTCACTCAAAATGATGCACGTGGACACCACGTGCATCATTTTGAGTTACGGAAACAGCCCCCCGTCCTACTAAGACTATGACTCCACACGTTTGATATAAGGTGAAGTGCAGAAAATTTACTCTGCCTTATATTTGAAAAAAGGTTGTCACTTAAAATTTTACAGCCTTTACTTTAAAACAAGATTGTTTAACAAGAGGTTTTTCTGATTAAGTAAAAGACTCTTTACTACAAGTAAATATCATCGATACGAAGTTATTTGTATACACTTGGTTAGAAAATCGGGTCAACTTGATAGTATTTGCCTTTGTACTGGTATTTGCCTATATTCAGCGAAAGATCTACCGGCGTGTAGGGTGACAATGAAATTGTATTGTGATGAGATTGGTAAACATTATCCATCAACATGGATCAATATATAGGTTATCAACAATGACGAAGGTATAATGTTGAAACATGCACAAATTTTTGTTTTTGTTATTAAACAACATTCACCTTCATCATGAATCTATTAATCTTCCAGCTACTTGGGCATATACTTTTCCTATGGACAGAATCAAGAAGAGGTAGAATAACCTACCACGTGGGCTCAATGCTATTGTTGGTGATTGGTCCCGACTGCATATAGCCAAATACAGAATATAACAAATAATATTTGGCTATATGCAGTCGGGTTCAACGGTTAAACCAAATACGAGCAAAACTCGAAACAATAAATTTTCACTAACCTATTTGATGACCAATCACTACAAACGCGCTTGTCACGGTGCTATCGAGTGAACTCCGATAAAACTGTTCCTCGAATGATTAGGTTAAACAAGATCTTACAACTATAAATAACAAAAAAAAAAATACTAGAAGCTAAAAGAAAAAACCGCTAACGTTTACATATTACTATAATAAAAAAATGGGTGCGTGTACTTATGTAGGCGCGTGAGAAGTTATCCTTCTTTGGCATCGTTTAAAATTAGTTTTTAATTGCATGCAAATAATTAATTACAATAAATTAATAAAAAGTCTGGAAAAGGACACAGTCAATAAAGTTCAGTTTTAATTTGAAA